GTGTAGCGTAAGGACTGTCATAATACTAACAGTTGGTGGCATTACAAAAACTGCATTACTTTTCATGTTTCAGTTCTATCTGAATACAACATACTCTATGATTTTTTTTTAAATATTCATTCAGCTGTGTGTGTGTGTGTGTGTGTGTGTGTGTGTGTGAGAGAGAGAGAGAGAGAGAGAGAATTCATGGTGCATTAGAGGTGTACAACATAATATCTAAATGTGAAGGAGTCATCAATACTTTACACTCTAAAAAATGCCGGGTTGTTTTAACCCAATTTTGGGTAAAATATGGACAAACCCAGCCATTGGGTTACATTTTTAAATTATATTTTTAACCCAATTGGCTGGGTTCGTCCATATTTTACCCAAAATTGGGTTAAAACAACCCAGCATTTTTTAGAGTGTAGAATGGAAAAGAAAACCGTAAGTGGCAGACTTTCTGCAGTAAAGACTTTATTAGCAAACTGAAATTGCTGTCAGTGATCACAACAAAACAAGGACAACATACATGGCCTTTGATTTAAAGTGTAAAGAAAAGTCCTGTTCTAATCTATACGATCTTCAGCATTTGGCCACATGATCTCGTCTACATCATGTCGTCTCTCGCTCTATAGCTTGGATAGAAATGCTTGGCATGCCTTATCCTCCCCTGACAGTCTTTCACTGAGAGCGCTACAGCCGGCATCCATAGCCTATGATTAATTTTCATATTCATATTTTGAGGTGAAATAAACCACGATATCATCACACCCTTTACTTCACTGGCAGTGTGTGTGAAAGAGTGGAGCTCACGAATGTGTAGACATGATAGTGTTTCTGTCTCTGTCTCCACCAAGTGGAGGAATGAAGAAGCTGCAGAGATGGATCTTCTTTATCCCGGAGATGTGAAAGCATTATCATGATGTCATGAGGTCACGACCCCAGCACAGAGTTTCCAAAGCTCATTCATGTCATCGCGCCGCAGTGAAGCCAGACACAACAAACACAGCGGTGCTCGATAGACGAGGTCATGACGAATGAAGTTAGAGGCTATGAAAAGGCTTAACGCGACTCACATCTCATTTGGAAAGCAGAAGCCAGGGTCTAGAGATGCACTCTGTGTTCATGCTGGATTCTTTTATTTAGTTGTTTTTTTAAACAAAAAAAGTTGACTCAGTCAAGTGGTGTTTCAATCAAGTACAAAGTAATATAATATTTCCCTTTACCTTGATCTCAGTCTTTATTTCCAAAAAAAGTTTATTTTTAAAAATAAATATCATGATTCAAACACTCTTTAGACGTTTTGGCTTCAACCCACACATCAAAACTGAAAACATACAGTATCACAACTGTATTCAAGTCATTGTCTGTAAGAATAACATTTCAATATGTTTTGAATAAATGTATTTAAAGATAAGGCACAATATGTATTTTTCCGCCGCTAGGGGTCGCTAACCTCTTCAGAGTAATAACGAAGGCGTAGGTTGATGATGCAGTGAATTGGCGGAATGTGTGTGTGTGTGTGAGAGAGAGAGAGAGAGAGAGAGAGAACATAGGCATAGGTTGATGACGTAGTGAATCGGCGGAATGTGTGTGTGTGTGTGTGTGTGTGAGAGAGAGAGAGAGAGAACATAGGCATAGGTTGATGACGTAGTGAATCGGCGGAATGTGTGTGTGTGTGTGTGTGTGTGTGTGTGTGTGTGTGTGTGTGTGTGTGTGTGTGTGTGTGTGAGAGAGAGAGAGAGAGAACATAGGCATAGGTTGATCATGTAGTGAATCGGCAGAAAGTGTGTGTGTGTGTGTGAGAGAGAGAGTGAACAAAGGCGTAGGTTGATGACGCAGTGAATCGGTGGAATCATGGAATTTGTCGTCATGGCGATTAATGTGAACACATTGATGTTTTTATCATGACTGTGGTGTGAAGCGAGTGCTAATGAGTGACAGATCTCAGGGCCACACCGCGGATATAAAGCAACGAGGACATTTCTACTGAACTACCGTTACCCGCCAGTGCTGGATTACTCACACAACGCAGCGCTGTTTCATTTGGTCTAATAATGTTACTCTGTGTGTTAGTTTGTTGGAACATTAGAATAACAGACTGATCATATTCTAACATTTCATCATGTTGAGCTTTATAACATTGATTAGTTTTATGTACATTTGCTCAGCCGTCTGAAGCTCATGCAAGAGCGGCGTCTCTGTCGAGTCGAGGTTAGCCGCGGACGCTAGCTCTCGTTAGACATAGCGCAGTTGTCTGTCGCCATGGTTACAGTGGGAGTGTAAATCAGCGACTATTTAGAATTATGAATTTCTCTGAATTCTTGGAAACGTACGTCATATATATTAGTTTTATTAATTTTTTATTTCATTTGTATTTATTTTAGTACATCCAGGGAACTATTTAAAAATAATAGTAGAAGTTTTATTTCATGTCAAGCAGTTAACTTACTTAACTAACCCCGAAATGTTATCCATTACATATCAAACACTTGTCTTTATTTGTCCATGTGTGAAATGGATTAATGAAAGCTACGCCTGTTGTTCCCCCAGTGTTGGCTGGGTCGGTCCTGTCTCCCGAGTCTCGCTCCTGGACCTGTGGACAGATGTGCGCTCAGGCCTGTGTGCGACGACAGCTTTAGAAAGATCCCAACAACTGCATGTAATGAGTCTGCCTACGCAAACACGGCTCGCACGGAGAGCTGGTCGTGTTATTGTGAGGCTGTGACCTCTTCTCTGACCTCTAGCGACCGGCCCACCTGCCAATCAAATCACTGGCTACTGTTGTGTGATTGCTCATTCATGTCCTCATCATTACTGTGATTGCACTGGGACCTGAAGGAGACACCTGTGTGAATGTGTGTGTGTTTGTGAGAGAGAGTGAACATGGACAGTCCCGGGGGCGAGGAAGGACTGCGTGAGTTTATTAACACTCTCTTATGGCTCTTTCAGACTGCACGATTTTCAAAGTAGTCGGGTCGCTGCTCTTTTCACACTGCATGACTATCTTGGCCAGCATTCAGTCGCTGCTGTGTTCACACTGGACGATGGATCGGCGACAGAAGGTTTCACACTGCATGACTTTAGAAAAATCGCCGACAGACTCTGTCTAGCACGCTGCACGCAAACTACATTTCACAACAAACACGCGTGAGATATGAAAAGGAAACAACGCGCGACACCACACGTGCAAGACCGGAGTTCTCACGTGAGACTTTTTTTTTCGACCCGGTTGTGGTACAGCTGGTGAAACAGACACGAGTGCTCCTGCCAAATTTCTACAAATTTTTCTTCCATTTATTGTGTCCAAATAAACCGAAAAGAAGCTTTTTTTGTTGAAACAATGCCATATCATGTTGATATGTGATCTATAACTCCTCCCCGAACTCCCTGCTGCTCTGTATCTTGCTCTCTCACTGGCTGCCGGTGATCGCCGATGTAGTTTTCAGTCAAAACACTTTTCACACAGCAGGATTTTGAATCGCCGACAGGTCCAGATATTTAGCATGCCAAATATCTCACGGGCGTCGGCGACTCGTCGGTGATTCTCTCAGTTCGCGTCTTTGCTCATTCACACTGCGTGATTGTCACTCGCGTGAACGAGCGCCGATTTGCCTGTGATTTCGGGCATTTGTCGGCGATTTCTCAAAACCTGTCGGCGAGCCAAAATCGTGGCTAAAATCATGCAGTCTGAACTCGGCATTAGTTAATAATTCTTCAATGCTGCTGGTTTTATGAATGCTAGTTAGCAAACTACACGCTTCCCTCACATAATGTAGTGCTGGCCATTAATATACATATGCTCATCATGCTGTAATCTTATTGGCCGAGACTGTTATTTGCCATCACTCGACTTGCTGGACACTGGACTGTGTGTTTTGTGTGTGTGTGTGTGGCTACAATCAGTGGACAGTCGTTAACTCAGAGCACAACGAGTCATGCATGTTCGTGTGTTGGACAGATGATTTAATGAAGAGATTCAGCGACAGGATCAGCTCTTGGTCCGGTGTTGTCAGGGATGGACATGCATCGTATGCAGTGGCAACATTGTTAGATCCGGGTTCGAGACCGACTCGGAGAAGGGTGGCGAGGATTGAAGGCTGAGTTTTAGAGGCGGGGCAATGAGGAGAGGGGTATGTTTGTTTGGGTTAAAATATCGACCATGTCCAACAGCGTTTTTGAAAAACTGCTTACCCCACCTTTAAAGGGTTAGTTCACCCAAAAATGAAAATTAAGTCATTAATTACTCACCCCCATGCTGTACCAACCCCGTAAGACCTTCGTTTGTCTTCGGAACACAAATGAAGATATTTTTGATTAAATTTGAGAGCTGTATAACTACCACATTGGCTCCTAAAGGACTGCCTCTTGATGGCCCAGAAAGTCAATGAAGAAAATGTTTAAATATCCCAAGTGACTACAGTGGCTCAACTATAAGTTTATCAAGCGACGAGAATACGTTTTGTGCGAAAAAACAAACAAAAATAACGACTTTATTCGACTATTTCTTTTCTTCCTTGTTGGCCTGAAACGAGACTTCCTTATGATTTCCACGACGCATGCGCGAGATTTGAACTGAAGTAGTGTAAGGAGATCGCAATTCTCGCGCATGCGTCGTGGAAATCATAAGGAAGTCTCGTTTCAGGCCAACAAGGAAGAAAAGAAATAGTCGAATAAAGTCGTTATTTTTGTTTGTTTTTTCGCACAAAAAGTATTCGCGTCGCTTGATAAACATATAGTTGAGCCACGGTAGTCACTTGGGATATTTAAACATTTTCTTCATTGACTTTCTGGGCCGTCAAGAGGCAGTCCCTTAGGAGCCAATGTGGTAGTTATACAGCTCTCAAATTTAATCAAAAATATCTTCATTTGTGTTCCGAAGACGAACGAAGGTCGTTGGTACAGCATGGCTAACCCTTTAAGATCAAGTGGTTGATCGGATGGTTAGAGTGGACAGGGAAAGTATCATGGATATATAAGACACTTGTTAACTCCTCATCTGTCTGTGTGTTTGCCAGGCCGCGGCTGATCCAGCGGAGGAGTCTGCGCGGCTTTAGTCCTGGAGCGTAGCCAGTGGGACGAATGGAGATGGAGCGATACCTGGGAGAGAGCGCCGGTGCTCTGGCCAACAGCACCAACAGCACGGCCACACCAGGAGCGGCGTTCCCCGCGGAGGTGCTCTCGCAGCGCTTAGCCGTGGTGGCTCTGCTAGCGCTGCTGACGCTGCTGACGGCCCTGGTGAACGGCGCGGTTATCGCCGCCATCTGCACCACCAAGAAGCTCCACCTCCCGGCGAACTACCTGATCTGCTCGCTGGCCGTCACAGACCTGCTGGTGGCGGTGCTGGTGATGCCCGTCAGCATCTTGTACATCACGGTGGAGGTGTGGCTGCTGGGGCCGTTCGTGTGCGAGGCCTGGCTGAGCGTGGACATGACCTGCTGCACCTGCTCCATCCTGCACCTGTGCGTGATCGCGCTGGACCGCTACTGGGCCATCACTAAAGCCATCGAGTACGCCCGCAAGAGGACGGCCCGGCGCGCCGCCGCCATGGTGGCCACCGTCTGGCTGATCTCCGTCTTCATCTCCATCCCGCCGCTGTTCTGGAGGCAGCGCGGCGACGGCTCGCAGCAGTGCATCATCGAGCACGACCACGTGGGCTACACCATCTACTCCACCTTCGGCGCTTTCTACATCCCCATGACCCTGATCCTCATCCTGTACTCGCGCATCTACAGCGCCGCGAAGACGCTGTACCAGAAGCGCGGCTCCTCGCGGCACCTCAGCAGCCGCAGCACCGACAGCCAGAACTCGGCGAACCACTGCCGGGTCACGCACGCCTTCTGCGTCTCGGACGTGTCCAGCTCCGACCCCGCCGCGGAGAACACGGCCCGCGCGCCGCCCTTCGACATGGAGGCGCCGGAGCTGGACGAGAGGAACCAGATCTGCACGTCCCGGGAGAGGAAGGCGGCGCGGATCCTGGGCCTGATCCTGGGAGCCTTCATCCTGTGCTGGCTGCCGTTCTTCCTGAAGGAGCTGCTGGTGGGGCTGATGCTGCTGAAGCCCTCGCCGCAGCTCTCCGACGCCCTCACCTGGCTGGGCTACGTCAACTCCCTCATCAACCCGCTGCTCTACACCAGCTTCAACGAGGACTTCAAGCAGGCCTTCAAGAGGCTGATCCGGCGCAAGGAGCACACATAGACCGGAGAGGGATAGCACACGCGATGCGGTGTCCTTGGGGACAGCGTCATTGAAATCCAATGAAAAACCACCGGCTGCTTTTCTAGCGCATCATCGTTTCATTCCTGAGCAACGGCGGGAAAGGCACAGTGGTGTACTTCCTAATGAAACTGAGGTTCGGGCGGGACACATCCAAAGGGCTCGTTCGGTGTTTTTCTATGTGACTAATAGGTCATTATTTCATCCGCATTCTTGGCTGAAGCATTTGATTGGTCAAATCTGTGTTGTGCAACATGACGAGTCATTGACATTATTATCTGTTTTCCAGGAGGAGAAAGACAATAAAAATACTTGTAAAACTATTTAACCCAACTTGTTTTTTTAAGTTGATGAAGTTTTTCACTTTTGAAAAAACTTTTGCTGATAATTTACTCGCCCCCGTGTCATCCAAGATGTCCATGTCTTTCTTTCCTCAGTCGAAAAGAAATTAAGGTTTTTGATGAAAACATTCCAGGATTTTTCTCCATATAATGGACTTCAATGGGGACCAAACGGTTCAAGGTCTAAATGAGAGTTAATAACAGTTTCAGATGCAGCTTCAAATGTCTTTGAACGACACCAGACGATGAATAAGGGTCTTATCATGCGAAACGATCGGTTATTTCAAAAATGTAACTTTTCTAAGGACAAATGCTAGCCTTGCTCTGTTCTGTGAGGCGCGTTTGTAACGTCACGTAATACGTAATTACGTTCAAAAGGTCACGGGCGACGTAGCCGGAAGTACAGAATCAAAATCGTCCGACATCGTTGTTTTACCTTTTAATTACTTTTTTTGTAAACGGCGTTTGAGTTAGTTTGCATGTTCAGCCTATGCGTTCAACTTGTAAACACTCTGACTCTGTACTTACGGCTACATCGCCCGTGACCTTTTGAACGTAATTACGTATTACGTGACGTTACAAACGCGCCTCACAGAATAGAGCAAGGCTAGCATTTGTCCTTAGAAAAGTTACATTTTTGGAATAAGTTTTGAAATAACCGATCGTTTCGCATGATAAGACCCTTATTCATCGTCTGGTGTCGTTTAAAGACATTTGAAGCTGCATCTGAAACTGTTATTAACTGTCTTTTGGACCTCGGACCGTTCCCATTGAAGTCCATTATATGGAGAAAAATCATGTTTTCATCAAAAACCTTAATTTCTTTTCGACTGAGGAAAGAAAGACATGGACATCTTGGATGACATGGGGGTGAGTAAATTATCAGCAAAAGTTTTTTCAAAAGTGAACTACTCCTTTAATATGTGGATTGCATGCAGAGTTTCCAGGTGTGTGTATCAAATCTAGCCCAAATTTCAACAAATGCCACTCCCGTACCCTGAAACACATATATTACAGCTACGGGGATGTGTTACACACTTTAATCTTGAAAATACATCATTTATGCAATACTTCAAACCTTTAACTTGCAGGAAAACAATCAATCCAATACCTATTGTCTGCGAGTGCAAATCTCAGATTTCATGTGACAGGTTTTCACATTGGAGCTGTGAGTGTGTACGAATGTTTATTGTACAAGTTCTCAAATTCACATCTACTGTATGCGCTCTCGAGCTTTGCTACCTTTTACCTTCATACACAAACCTCAAACACTACAACATTATTGCACTCAACATCATGTATCTGGAAACGCATTGCATCACAGGCGGCTCGAGTCGTCACTCAGCGCGGCGCTCTCGTGGGGCGGGGCTCAATAAATTGCATACATTTTATGCACATTTTTAAAATTTATCTATTTATTTACTTTTATTATTTAGAAGCCATATCCCAAAATTTGCATAAAAATGGGTGGGTGGAAGCCTAGATAGAGTCATTAGCCACGTTTCGATTACAGATTTGCAGAAAACTTTTGCGATATTTTCTAAATTTCCATTATGAAATGCGACTAAAATGTAATTTTTCCTCTCGCGATAATCATTCCACCGGATGTTGGTCGGTTTATGTCGCAGCCGCCGCTCTGGCCATTATTTTTTTTTTTTTTTTTTTTTTTTTTTTTAGCCTTCTTTAACACATTTATTACCTCCACTGAACATTTCTAAAGGAAAGTAAATGAGTTAGAATGAATGAGCAGCTCTGGCCATTATTGTTAATGTATGGAGACGTGAGTGTGTATCCAGGCTTTCATAGCAAGGGAAGCCTCTTATACTGAGAGTGTTTCAGGGTGTTTCTCCCTCAGTTCTGCTTCCAGCTCGTTATTGGGGCATTTCTTTGTGGTTTAGAATCCAATTAGGTTGCAATTTCAGTTTTGCGATCGAATTGCCTGAAAAAAACACTTCATTAAACACTTTATTGCAAAATATGGGAGTTTTTGTGAAAATGACGTGTTTCAAGGCATATTTTGAATTCACAATTTCAATTTGCACAGTTTGAAGGGTAACAGAAACACGGCTACTGTGGTTTGAGTGGTGGAGAGCGCTTGAGGAAAGATCTCTCTCTCTTTGGCATGGAGGGGCATGTTACTCTCACATGCACACCTGTACCTGTCTATTGGTGGAATTCATCACAGCACACACACTACAATGATGACACATCTGAGCCGTGGTGCATGATGGGAAATGAGCCCCGCTCCTGAGACTTAACCCTAACCCTATGGCTAGGCTAAAGGAGTAGTTCACTTTTTAAAAAAAAGCTTTTGCTGATCATTTACTCGCCCCCACGTCATCCAAGGTGTCCATATCTTTCTTTCTTCAGTCGAAAAGAAATTAAGGTTTTTGATGAAAACATTCCAGGATTTTTCTCCATATAATGGACTTCAATGGGGTCCAAAAGACAGTTTCAGCTCATAATTGCTGTAATTGTATTTTTACTATAGGCTGCCATTCTAAACCAATTGTTGATATCAAGAATTGATTTCTCATTAGTTGAAATACCAATTTCACATTTCCAAAATACAATTATTACTAGTAAAAACCTTTATTTTTGATATCAAGAATTAAATTGTTACTAGTTGAAATGTCTATTCTTGATATCAACAATTGAATTGCTACTAGTAACAATGTTCATTTTTGATATCAATAATTCAATTTTCACTATTGACAATGTTAATTTATGATATCATGAATGTGATTGTTACTAGTAAGAAAGCCATTTTAGATATCTGAAATAATATTGATATCAGAAATACATTTTCAGAAATCAAAAATATTTTTTTACTAGTACCAATTGAATTGTTGATATCAAGAATAGACATTTCAACTAGTAACAATGTAATTATTGATATCAAAAATGATATTTCTACTAGTAAAAAATCAATTCTTGATATCAACAATTGATTTTGAATGGCAGCCTCTGGTGACATTTCACTAGTGAAAATACAATTACAGATATCAGCAATTCAATTCTTGATATCAACAATTACATTTTTTGATATCAAGAATTCATATCCTGGAAATGAATAAAAGTTAAAACGGCTTGCCATACAGACTAAAGACTGGAAATTTACAACATACACTGCCGGTCAAAAGTTTGGAATATTTAAGGTTTTTTTTTTTATGTTTTTGCTCACCAAGGTTAAATTTATTTTATCATATTGTTTGAAATATTAATACAATTTACAATATCAGTTTACTATTGTGTTATATTTTAAAAGCACAGCATTTATTCGAAATATAATCTTTTAACAATATAGAATTCTTTACTGTCAACTGTGATCAATGTAATGCATTAAAGCGAAGGCGAACTCACAGTTTTCTTAGACATTATTCGACAGATCATTAATTGATATTAAACAGTACATAGATTGCCATTATCAATGAACTTTTAGCAGCGCGACTGTTCCAACACTGATAATAATCAATCTTGCTCATCAGATCCTCATATTAGAGTGATTTATGATGAAGGATCAACGTTGAAGACTGATAAATTCAGCTTTGATCACAGGAATAAATGACACTTTACTGTATATTCTCATAGAAAACAGCTGATTTAATAATATTTCACTGTTTTAGTGTATTTCTGATGAAATAAACGCAGCGTTGGTGAGCAGAAGACACACTCTCATTCACATTAAAGCGACATGTTCAAATCTAACACAGATATAGCTTCTTTAAAGATCTCTATTAACTGCATATCTAAACACTTTAGCTGAAATATCACGTTTTAATGAATTATTTAGTCGTTTAATACGACCCGGGTGTATTTCATGTGTAAAAGTTATGGATGATCAATCTATGCAGAATATGTGTCCTAATAAATAGAACAACGATAGAAATCACGACTCATGTTCATTTTGCCGGTGTTTTTTATTTCTCTTAAATAAAACATGCTGTGTTGATTGATAATCCTGTTGGTCCTGGCTAACACCCCTTTACCCAGCCGAACCCAGCCCCGTGGTGACATCATCACCCCTGACAGTCAGGAAGCCGCATCACAGACATCATAAGGAGATGCTCATGTGTTTATGAATGTTGAGCTTCGTGGTTTTGAGTCAAAAATTGAATCAGTTTCATCATTTCAAAATGCCATAATCAGACAATACTAATAAAGATAGCCTATAGTATTTTCTGTAATGACTGAGTGATAAATGACATCAAAGGTCAAATGTGCTTGACATGGAAAAAAGAGACACTTTTACCAGTCATGAAGGTGGGGTTTCTCCTTATGAGCTGCTTTCTTCCTACACATAATGAAGAAAGTGTGTCAACACTTTGTTGTAATCTTTGTATTTTTTGTTATTTGTCTAGGGACTACGGATGTAAATTAGCCCTGTGGCTATAATCCGGCATGTTTACGTCTGTTTTGTTCTCTCAATTCAGAAGTTCATTAATGTGCATTGTCCCTATCAAATAAATAAATAAATAAATAAATAAACCATAGGTGTCAACAGACACACACACACACACACACACGCACACACACTTAATGACATGCTTTAAGAGAATTGTGTCATTGATGTGGACATTGAAAGCAGTTAGAAAGCATTGAAAAGCATTAAAGCATTGAAAGATTAGATCAGTTTAGATCAGATTAGATTTGATCAGTTTGACTGTGAGTTTCAGAAAAGAGTCTCGGTCCAGATTAGATCCGTTTAGATCAGATTAGATGAGACTATGAGTTTCTCATCTCTCAGATGTCTTATGCTGTGGTAAACAGTTGATCTGGAGAGACCAGCCACAGTTAAAGGGTTACCGTGGAGTGTGTGTGTGTGTGTGTGTGTGTGTCTGATGAGGGATATGCCGTACCTCACGCTGGCTCATAGCAGCGGTTTATGAACAAAATGCTGCATAAAAGAGAATTGCATATTATTGCTCAGTATTGCTAAGCATACTGATCCCCTTTCATAAACAGGACCTTTAAAT